ATAGCAGAGCTTTGGTTCGCTAGACTTGATTTTGTAGTGCTGCAAATCAAGTAATAGTTGTTACATCCTGGGAAGTAGACGCCATTAAAATTCGAAGCACCGGAGCAAGGACAAAATGTACTTTAAGGAGATTGTGTCCAACACAAGTCTCGACTTATAATTTCTGTAAGCATTTAATTTGGAATTTAATTTATATAATTATTTTTTGAATTATTTTATTTACACATTTAATTTACACACACACTACTGTGGGAATAACAAGAGTAAAAAGAAGTAAAAAGATTAGAGAAGAGAAGAGGGGTGTGTGCCTTACTTGAATTGCAAAACCTTCTTTCTTTCTTTGGTAAATTACATTGACCTCTTCTGAGGTTTACCTTAATTGTAGGGACCTCCCATGTAGTTTAAAAAATAACATTGACCTCTCTTACTTTTGAAAATAATACTCAGATTCTCCCTTCCCGTTAAAAAAGCATTAACGACGTTAACTTGGTAGCCGAATTGACCATAATACCCTTGAACCACATTGTGAAAAGACACAATTGACCTTTAATATAAAAAAAACCCCTCTCATTCATTCTTATATTATTTGCATCATCACTATCATTATCAACAACAACTAAAAAAAAAAAAATTATAGAACTGATAAATACAAAAATTATCCTCTAAAATTCAATTACACCATACCAAAATCTACACCATCCATTTCCAATCTCTCCACCTAGGGTTTCATTTTCTTCAAACGATGCACCAAGCCTAATCAATCTCCACTCTCTCTCTCTCTCTCTCTCTCTCTCTCTCCAATTGAGAACAACAATAACAACGGTGTCGATGCAACGTCGTTTCTCACAGAACAGATCTTTCGAAGCTAGCAGTTCGTTCGGCGCCCGTCGAGCCTCCCCAGCACGGCTCGATTCCTCCGTCGTGCCAGCAATTGAATGATATGCGAGCCATTAATGGAAGTGTGCAAATTGGCGACGAAGCAGATCGCGAATAGGCAGAGCTATTGGGCATATTCACGGCCTGATCATGATTCTTAATCTCGTATAGAACTTGGCATTTGTAGACATGGTAGCAGCGGCAGTGATGAGCCGGAAGGAGTTGTTGGCGGTGTACTTGATGGTTTGGATTGATCTGAGATGAGAGAGACAGAGAGACGCAACGACGGATGAGAGATAGAGAAAAAGAGCGAGGCGGTGGTCTGCGGCGAGGGTAGAGAAACAGAGCACAAAGACAGAGTGAAATGGAAGAGAGATGGAATGGGTAGATTATTATGGATGACAGAGCACAAAGAGAGAGTGAGTGGGAAGAGAGATGAAATGGGTAAGATATGTATGTGTTTATATATATATATATATATGGGTAAATTATACTTACCTTCCCTGAAGTGTAGTATTGGAATTTGTAGAATAATTATGGATGATATTAGATAATCTATTTGAATTTGCACGGATGAGTAACAGAAGGGGGTTTTTGTGTATTAGTTTCAAAAGTAAAGGAGGTCAGTGTTATTTTTGAAACTATAAGGGATGTCTTTGTAATTAAGGTAAACTTCAGAGGAAGTCAATGTAATTTACCCTTATTTATTTTTCTTTCTTCTACTCTCTCTATTTTTTTTTTCTTTCTTTCTTCTCTCTTGCCTACTATAGCCGGTTGAAATGTGTGCATTGGAGGGAGAGTGTATTGCCAATTTATAGAGGATTGGTGGTTGAAAAGACCAAAAAGGCCTTAGTTGGGTTTGAATTAAATTTTTGACAAGTTAGTTGGAATGAAATAGAATGCGGGTGGATTAAGGGTTTAAACTCAATTATTTAAAGATCTAATTGGCTTAATCCTTCTACTTGGAGACCAAGAAAGACAGCATCCCTAGATTTGAGGCTTTAGCCATTTTTTATTCTTTTCTTTCTTTCTTTTCTTTGAAAAAATGACATCTGTTGCATCAAAGCTGTGGCCGGCCACCCTATTCTTGTGGTACAACAATTTTTTTTTAAATTTTTTATAGAAAATATTTTGTATAAAATAGTATGATAATAGGTATTTAATACAATGGATATTAAAATAATACAATAAAAGATTGAGAATACAATAATATAAAAAGATAGGGACCAAATCTAAAATTGTGAAAAAATAAAAATTTTATTATTAATATATAATTATTAGAAAATAAATAAAATATTTAATTCAGGTCCTGTTAAATTAAATCACAAAGAAAGATGAGAAACTAAGCAAAAACAACGAAGTTAAGATTTTTAAGCGATTAATCTATAATTAGGGGGACTCAAAAATTAATATAGAAGTATTAATTTCTAAGTTATCGGGGATGATTAGAGTTAATCAAATACGCCCACGATGCGTTGGAGTTCTAGGGTGAAATTTGCGAGAGAACGATAAATTCAGGAGTTTTATTGAAATAACTTCTAACATTAGGGATTCAAAGATAATTACGAAAATTGGGGTCTCACAATCCTAGTTGTTTATATATAACTTTTTCTAATTCTATTCTATTATTATTTATTTCTTCATCTACTTTATCTAATTGTTCAGTTATTTTAATAGTATTTTATATTTTATTTTGCTGTCATTTTCTTTTTCAGACATCTCTTCTAACTGTTTTAGATTATATTTTCTTAATTCCATAATTTTTTTTCGGGTTTTGGGTGAAACTAATTCAAATGGTTCTTCTGAGTTATTTCCTTTATATGTGTAAGAATATAAATCTATTTTTTTTCTCTTAAAAAATAGCTATTTATTTTTCTAGATTTTGTGTTAAACGTTTAAGTTTGTTTATTATTTCTAATTGATTATTTTTAAGTTTTTCGATAATTTCTTTTAATATCCTAATTAAGGTATTGTTTTGTTCTATTATTATTTGTAAAAAAGTAATTATTTAAGTTATTAGATTATACTTTTTCATTATATTTGATACTCATGCAAATGTTATTGGCAAGGCTGAGAAATTGGGCTCTGATACCAATTTCAATTGCGAATTTGCAAATTTTAGTTTAATATTAATTCTTGCAAAAACTTTCGTTGGTAATCTACACTTGCCTTTTCTATGGTTATTTTATCATTAATACTAGCAATTCTTTAGTTATAATTTATTATGGATTGTCCAGAAACAATAGCCAAAAGAAAATTTTAATCTATTTAACTTACTTTCTAATTAAAAAATATAATCTAAATTATTTTTTATTTTATTTTTAAGCGCTGTAATTAAATACATATAATTATTACTTTTGAAGATTTTATACACATAATTTTTTTTTAAAATATTTTTTATGCTTTTTTTTATATATAATTTTTTAAATTTTATAGGAGTCTAATAATTGAAACTTGATGATGAGTGGGTTAAATGATGTGGAGTGAGGTGTGTGAGATGTATGCTCCAACTGTATTTGGCCTAGATCGGGCTACACCTTTTTGTGTGGATAAGGAATTTCTATTTTTCTATTTTTATTTCGTTTTTTGGTTCCAAATCTGATGTAAAAAATAAAAATAAAAAAAAAAACAAACAAATAAACTCTATTACCTTTTCCAGAGTTTCTTGAAATAACACAAACCTCCCCTGTCAATTTTTTATTTTTTGTTAACAGAGTTAACAGAACATGGTCTATACATTTTGGGGGAATTACATCATTGGGACAGAGGTTTTTTTTTTTTTTTTTTTTTAACACAACACTCTCATCATGCAACTCACTACCACACACCAACCTTTCTCCATGATAACCATCCCCAATTCTAAACTCCATTTTCAGACCCAACGGATTAAAAAAAGAAAAGGATAAACTATCAATAGGTGCTAATAGTTAGATTTAATTTTCATCAAGTTCTATTGAAAATAAGTCTTGGTAAAATTGTTACAAAAATTATTTTTTTTGTGACAATTTTTTACATACGTGGCTAAAAATTAATAATTAGTGACTTTTTTTTGTCATGATTTTTATAAATTGTCGTTTAAACTTACAATTTGTAACTTTTTTTATGACAAATTTTTTCCATAGGACCTATTAGACAATAAGTCCACTTATTAAGGACCTACACGTAAATATCCCTTTTTTGGTAAATTACTAATAGGTCCTACTTTTGAGACTTATTACTCATTAAGTCCTATTGATAAATTTATCAAGTGATAAATTTATTAGTCTATTGTTTTTATGAATAAATTTATAGTAATAAATTTATCAGTTAGGACCTGTAAGTAAATATGTCTAGTTAATAAGATTGATTGACAAGTGTCCCATTTTTTTTTTTGTTATAATTTATTGTGGTGTTGATTATACCTTGATTATAACAAATTATGATTGTTATTTTGATTATGACAAAATAATTTTGTTGTTATACCTTAAGTGGGGTTGGTTATGACTACTTATGAATTTTTGTGTTTGTTATTTTAATTATGATTGAAGAAGTTTTTAATTGTGTTTTGAATAATATTTGGTTATGATTCATTGTGATTGCTTTGTTCTATTATTTTAAATTTTTATATGTTGTTTTTGCAGAGAAGGTATAGTCTTTTCCTTACAAGTCAAACTTGAGAAAGTTAGCCGTTTTACCTAAATCGTCATACTTCTACTTGAGTAATAGGAAATTCGAACTCTAATAAATAAGGAGAGAAGATATATTCTTCTCTCGACAAATATATATACATATTCTCTTTTTTTTTTTTCATTTTCATTTTTTGATTCCAATTTTTTTTTTTAAAAAAGGCTCGAACAAATCTCTATCAACTGCCACCACGATAGTGTTATGAATTGATTTAAAATCATATAGGATTCGAATACTTTAATTGTGTTCTATTTTTTAAACTTGCTTTTACAGAGAAGGTGCACGCAAGATAGGGACAGGGGGCCAATGAAAGGAGATGCCTTTATTGGCTTCTTCTTCTCACAAAAATAAAGCCATTTTTGAGACTGCTAAAGCTTTTTTTCACTGAAGAAAACTCAACAAGCTCTCTTTGCTTTCCTTCTGATCTGTTTCTTTTTTTCCTTTTGTAATCGGAAACAATGCCTATAGCAGAGATCTTTCTCTCTGCCTTCATCAAATTGTTGTTTGAGAAGATGAACTCTATAGCCTCATCGAAATTACACAACTTTGAAGGTATTGATACTCAGCTGACAAAATGGATCAATATGCTGTCGCAAATTGAAGCTGTTTTGATTGACGCGGAGGAGAAGCAAATGACAGATCGAGCAGTGAACCTGTGGCTCGACGATCTCCATGATTTGGCATATGATTTGGATGATGTCGTGGATGAGTTCGCCACCGAAGCTTCGCGACAGAAGCTCAAGGCAAAGCCTCCCCAAGCTAGTTCCAGCAAGGTATGGAACCCCATCCCTAATTTCAAGCCAAGAGACGTTATGTTTAATTTCAAAAGGAGGTCCAAGATTGAGGAGATCACTACTAGATTACGCAATAGTTTTGAACAATGTTCGCAACTTAATTTGGTTAAGATTGTTGGAACCACATCTGGTAAGATTTGGCAAAGACTAGAGTCTACATCTTCGTTATCTGAACCTCGCATTTATGGAAGAGAAAAGGATCAGAGAAAGATAATTGAGTTGCTTATAGGGGCGGATGAATCAAGTCATAACAACATTGGCATAATTCCCATTGTAGGTATGGGTGGGATTGGCAAGACCAACCTGGCTCAAATGGTATACAACAATGAAACCGTGAAGAAGCATTTCAATCTGAAAGCTTGGGTCTGTGTGTCAGATGAGTTCGACATTATGAGAATAACAAAATTAATTCTCGAGTCAGTGACTTTGCAAACATGTAGTTTTCATGGCTTAGATCAAGTTCAAGTTCAACTAAAGCAGGCTTTGGCAGGAAAGAAATTCTTAATTGTTTTAGATGATGTTTGGAACAAAAAATACAGCGATTGGAATGTTTTGAAGAGCCCTTTCGTTGATGGAGCCCAAGGGAGTAAAGTTGTGGTGACAACACGTAATAGAGATGTTGCAAGAATGATGGGTGCTGTTGAACTTCATGACATTGAGGTCCTCTCAGATGATGATTGTTGGTTGTTGTTTGCACAACATGCCTTTGAGAGTAGAAGTATTGATGCAAATCCAAATTTGGTATCAATTGGTAAGAAAATTGTGGAGAAATGTAAAGGTTTGCCTCTGGCTGTTATGACACTCGGTGGCCTTTTACGGTGCAAAGAACGAGATGAGGAATGGGTACATGTATTGCGTAGTAAAATATGGGATTTGCCACATGAAGAAAGTGACATCCTTCCTGCTTTGAGATTAAGCTACCATCATCTCCCTCTGCATTTGAAGCAGTGTTTTGCATACTGCTCAATAATACCCAAAGACTATGAATTTGAGGAGGAGGAGCTAGTCTTGTTGTGGATGGCAGAGGGTTTCATTGAGCATCAAAGAGAGAAGCAAATGGAAGATGTAGGAGGTGAGTACTTTTGGGAATTGTTGTCCAGGTCGTTTTTCCAACCATCAAGTACCGGTAAAAGCTCTAAATTCGTGATGCATGACCTCATCAATGATTTGGCTCAAGTAGTTGCAAGAGGTACATGTTTTAGACTAGAGGATAAATTGAAAGATCAGGAGCAGCACATAAATCTAAAGAAAGCTCGACATTCATCTTACGTGCAGGACCATTGGCAAGGTATGGAAAAATTTGAGATCTTCTACAAAGCCATGCATTTGCGGACCCTCATACCATTTTTAATACCAGGCTATACGCAATATCATGTGGCAAACAATGTTGCCCTTAATCTATTGCCGAAGCTACGATGCTTAAGGGTGCTCAGTATGAGTAAATATTGTATAAGTGAACTTCCAAATTCAGTTGGAAATCTGAAACATCTGCGGTACCTTAACCTTTCCTACACCCTCATTGAAGAATTACCCAAATCATTAGGGTCTCTGTACAATCTACAAACATTGATGTTAAGAGGATGTCAAAATTTGAAAAAGTTGCCTGTAGATATGGAAAACTTAATTGACCTACGTCATCTCGATATTACAGATGCAGATTCCTTGGAAGAAATGCCCTTGGGGATAGGTAAGTTAGCTAGTCTTGTAACACTATCCAATTTTATTGTTACTAAAAACAATGGGTTTCGGATAAGAGAGTTAGGGAACTTAATTTATCTTCGAGGGAAGCTTTCCCTATCTGGGTTACAAAACGTGGTGGATCCTCGAGATGCAAGAGAGGTAAATTTAATTAATAAGGGAGGCTTGAAAGTGTTATCAATGGAATGGAGTGTGGGCTCAGATGAATCACAAGATAGAAGAGTTGAAACAGAAGTTCTCGACATGCTACGTCCTCACAAGAACTTAGAAGAGCTCCACATCAAATGCTACCTTGGTACAGGATTTCCAACCTGGATAGGAGATCCTTTGTTCTCCAATATGTTGTGCATAAGTTTACAAAATTGTAAAAAATGTGTTTCCTTACCACCACTTGGACAATTACCCTTGCTTAAAGACCTTTGTGTTGAAGGAATGAGTGCATTAAAGCATGTTAGTTATGAGTTCTATGGGCTGTGTAGTACCAAACCTTTTCCGTTACTAGGGACTCTAAGCTTTAAGAACATGCCTGAATGGGAGGAATGGTATACTTTTGGGGATAGTGAGGAAGTTCTACCATTCAATCGTGTTTGTAAGCTTTCCATTGAAAATTGTCCCAAACTTCTCGGTATGTTGCCCTGTAATCTACCTTGTTTGAAAAATCTAGAGATTACGGAGTGCCTGCAATTGTTAGTTGAGGCTTCCACCATTTTCTTCCCATCACTCGCCTCCATAGTTATGAAGGACGTTTCTCTTACAAACCTTCTAGTGGTTCTTGAGATGAGGAACATGCTTGAAGATGAAGTGATGTTGGCAAATGCGAGTTCAGTTACTTCCCTGAGCATTGGGATAATTAAGAAACTTGAGCTCTTGCTGAAATGGTTTACTCATGGGCTGATGAAACTTGAAGAATTGAACATTACTAGTTGTGAAGAACTCAAGACACTGTGGAAGAATGACGCAAGATTGCAACACAGTCACCCTGCATTCCGAAGTTTGGAAATTAATGGCTGCCCCCAGCTCGTTTCATTGCTTGAAGAAGATGAGGATGAAGAAAACGAAGGGCAACATCAACAGCAACAAGAGGGACTCTCTTGCATAGTGAGGCTTGATCATATAAAAATAGATAATTGTGAAAAACTGGAGAAACTGCCACGGCGGCTGCATACCTTCAATTTTCTTCGAGGGTTGCATGTCTATCAGTGTTCAAGTCTCAGCTCTTTTCCAGAGGCAGGCTTTCCGTCCATGCTGAAAACACTCGTGATACATGATTGTAAGGCTTTGCAATCCATATTCGGGTGGGTAGATTAATGATAATAACCTTGAAGTGTTAGAGGTTCATGATTGTCCATCCCTTACATGCTTGATATCGTGCAGAGGTGGGCAGCTACCACCCACACTAAAAAAGGTTGAGATTTGGGAGTGTATAAAGTTGGAGGCACTTCTAGTAGAGGAGGGGATGAAAATTAACTGCCCATCTCTTGAGTATTTTGCGATCTGGTATTGTGATAGGCTCAAATACTTGCCAGATGTCGTTCCTAATGATAATAATCTCAGGAATCTCATTTGATTGATGGTACATGGGTGTAAGAATTTGGAGTCCATTCCGGACGGATGGTTCCACTCCGCAACAAATCTGAGAATTTTGGCTATCTCCCACAGTAAAAAACTGAAGGCCTTGCTGCTCTTGCCACACCAATTGCAGACCATCAACTACCTCGCTTCTCTTGATTGGCTGCAAATGAATATTTCACATTGGAACAACAACGTCAAGCAGATTGGTTGGCACAATTTACCCAATCTTAGCACATTGTCGATCACAGGCCCAATTAGTGTCGCAGAGGAAGAAGAAGAAGAAGAAGAAGAAGAAGAAGAAGAAGAAGAAGAAGAAGAAGAAGAAGAAGAAGATTGGGCAGGGTCCAACATTTCGATAGATGAGATGTTGCTGCTCGCCTCTCTAATTGATCTTCGTCTCCGTGAATTTCCAAATCTAAAGAAGCTATCTTCTAAAGTGTTTCAAAACCTTTCCTCTCTTCAATCTCTTACCATCATTGATTGCCCTAGGCTCGAATCTATTCCAATGAAAAGCCTGTCTCCGTCACTTTTGAGATTGTTGATTATCAACAGTCCGAGACTAGCAAGGAAGTGTGAAAAGGGAAAACACTTAGCTTACCTTGCTGAAGTCCGCGTTGTTGACGAGTGATAAGCTGGGGCATTTCCCTAAATAAGCCAAAATAAGAAGGGAATTCCCAAACTAAACCTAGTTTTGAAAGAATTCCCAAAATGAGCTAACTCGCGGTTCACAATCGCGAGTTCAAGACTTTCCCACCCCCGTCGCCTGAAATCAGTAAAAGTTTAAACTCGCTGTTAGAAAAAGCGAGTTTAATTAAGAACTCGCTGTTAGAAAACGCGAGTTTGATTAAATTTCTTTGCTTTGAACTCGCTATTTGCAAGCACGAGTTTATCCGAAATCGCTGTTTGTAAGCACGAGTTTAGCAAAAAAAAAATTTCTGCTGAAATCGCTCTTTGAAAACACGATTTTATCAGAAAGGTGAACTCGCTGTTTGTAAGCACAAGTTTAGCAAAAAAAAAATTTGTAATGAACTCGCTCTTTGTAACCACGAGTTCTTTGCCAAATTTTCATCTCACTCTTTAGAACCACGGTTTTTTGCCAAATTTTTTTATGAACCGTGCTTTTAGAGTAAATTTCTTTTTTAATTTCAATTTTACTGAACTTTAAAGAAAAAATTTTCGTTCTTTTGTTTATGTTGTCATTGTTTTGGTGATAATATATTTCAGAATAATTTTTTTGGTTAAAATTCTTTTACTAAAACCGTTCTCATATTAATTTTTTTTTCTTTCCTTTTGTCTTTAACCACGAGTTCATCAAAACCCACGTTTTATGAAAAAAAAATTTTCTTCTAACCTCACTCTTTAGAACCACGGTTTTTTGCCAAATTTTTTTTATGAACCGCGCTTTTAGCGTAATTTTTTTTTAATTTCAATTTTACTGAACTTTAAAGAAAAAATTTTCGTTCTTTTGTTTATGTTGTCATTATTTTGGTGATAATATATTTCAGAATAATTTTTTTGGTTAAAATTCTTTTACTAAAACCGTTCTCATATTAATTTTTTTTTCTTTCCTTTTGTCTTTAACCACGAGTTCATCAAAACCCACGTTTTATGAAAAAAAAATTTCATCTCACTCTTTAGAACCACGGTTTTTTGCCAAATTTTTTTATGAACCGTGCTTTTAGCGTAATTTTTTTTTAATTTCAATTTTACTTGAACTTTAAAGAAAAAATTTTCATTCTTTTGTTTATGTTGTCATTGTTTTGGTGATAATATATTTCAGAATAATTTTTTTGGTTAAAATTCTTTTACTAAAACCGTTCTCATATTAATTTTTTTTTCTTTCCTTTTGTCTTTAACCACGAGTTCATCAAAACCCACGTTTTATGAAAAAAAAAATTCATCTCACTCTTTAGAACCACGGTTTTTTGCCAAATTCTTTTATGAACCGCGCTTTTAGCGTAATTTTTTTTTAATTTCAATTTTACTTGAACTTTAAAGAAAAAATTTTCATTCTTTTGTTTATGTTGTCATTGTTTTGGTGATAATATATTTCAGAATAAGTTTTTTGGTTAAAATTCTTTTACTAAAACCGTTCTCATATTAATTTTTTTTTCTTTCCTTTTGTCTTTAACCACGAGTTCATCAAAACCCACGTTTTATGAAAAAAAAAATTCATCTCACTCTTTAGAACCACGGTTTTTTGCCAAATTTTTTTATGAACCATGCTTTTAGCGTAATTTTTTTTTTAATTTCAATTTTACTGAACTTTAAAGAAAAAATTTTCGTTCTTTTGTTTATGTTGTCATTGTTTTGGTGATAATATATTTCAGAATAATTTTTTTGGTCAAAATTCTTTTACTAAAACCGTTCTCATATTAATTTTTTTTTCTTTCCTTTTGTCTTTAACCACGAGTTCATCAAAACCCACGTTTTATGAAAAAAAAATTTCATCTCACTCTTTAGAACCACGGTTTTTTGCCAAATTTTTTTATGAACCATGCTTTTAGCGTAATTTTTTTTTTATTTCAATTTTATTGAACTTTAAAAAAAAACAAAATCCTATCAAAATTTTTGACACAAAATGGACATAGATACTTCGATTACAGCCATAATCACTAATAATTTTTCTCTACCATGCAAACCTGTAAACAAACACATAAACCTCACTAAAATCAAAACCAAACTAAACCAACAACAGAGAAAGAGAATCACACATGAAAAAAAAAAATTAAAAAACAAATAAATTTATGAAATGAGAGAATGTTACCTCCAAAAAT